CGAAAAATGCATGTCCTACTCTGAAGTACCGAAAGGAAATCCAGCCTAGTTGATTTACTTGGATATAATAATTGATTACCGGAATGGAACAAGTGAAGTCACTTGTTCCACTTGTCAGCAGAGATTAACTACGATCTCTCATACTCCTGTTTCATATTTCTTCCCTGACTAAGAGAAAGATTTAACCACTGCTGAGCTTCCCTTAACACCCTTAAATTAACAGGTAGGTTTTAATTGAACCATGTGAAGTCGGCCACTAGGTTTGGCAACCTACAGTCACCGTCCATGCTGGATTTAGTGTTGACCAATGAGGAGCTGATGGTAGAGTCTGTCAATATGACTTCTCCCCTAGGACGCAGCGATCATGCAGTACTTACATTCAAATACGTTTGTTACGCTTCGATTCAAAGAAGTTCCTCTGGTAACACGTGCAGATCTATAAACCACACACTGTTGAATAAATTGGGGCTCTCTGCTCAGTGGGTTTCTTATGGCGAAGAATCTAATCCGTTGGTCGTATGGAAGAAATTTATTGGCAATCTCACAAGTATAATAACATCCGTGACTAAAACTAGAGTAATCACCAAATCCGGCATCCGAAATTCACCTATCCGAAGCAGTACAAGGAAGTGGCTATCGGCGAGGGATTCAGCCTGGCGAGAATATAATCATCTTCCGAATGCTGTCACATGGAATAATTACCGTATGCTGAGGAACCACTGCACCAGGCTGATTTGTGAGGATAAAGTGAAATACCAAGAGGCGCTAGTACAAAAATTCATTTATAACCCTAAGCTGTTGTACCAACACGTAAACTCCATTCGGAAAGTAAAGATTTTTATACCGGTACTAAGTAGCACTGGAAGAGTTGCAGCCACTTCAACGGAAGCAGCGGAAATGCTGAAAATTCATTATTCCAACGTATTCGCAACACCGCAGGTTGATGATTTACAACTACTCCACCGGTTGCATTATCTTCCACATCCTTCACTCACCTACGTATCATTTACTGCTAAAACGTCAGAGCAAAACTAATATCTTTGCGAAAAAATGCAACCCCAGGTGCGGACAACATACACCCGAAATCTCTGATCTTTTTGGCAAAACACATCCGAACCGCTAGCCATTCTGTTTCAACAAATGTTCGACCAAGCAACACTCACAATCATGGAAACAAGGAGTTATTAGCTATTAGTCAGTTAGTTAGTTATTAGTTGTCGTAGTGCTCCTGTAACCCTTATCGAAAGTCATGGAATCAATAGAGACAGATTCACTGATGGAACACCTCGAAAGATACAACATTCTCTCGACAGCTCAACACGGGTTCAGGCAAAGCGATCCTGCTCCACCAATCCGCTTCTTATTCGAGATGAATGGACCAGAAAGAAATGGATGCGGAGGATGTGTTTTATCTCGACTTCTCGGAAACATTTGATCCGGTAAATCACCAAATTTTGTTACAAAAAACGCTACAATTACGGCGTTCGAGATTTCGTGTTTGATTGGATTAGAGCATTCCTCCAAAAACGGACCATATCAGTTCGTGTTTGTGATTCTGTATCCGGACCTATCAAAGCCACCCGCGGTGTTCCACAAAGGTCCGTACTCGGTCCCCGGCTGTTCCTCGCCTTCATAAATGATCTACCCAAAGTGTTAGGTTCAAAAACAATACTGTTTGCAGATGACGTCAAAACCTGGAACACGGAAACAGAACCAGAGGGCTCTCAAACACTTCCGGAATCACTCAACGCAGCTTATCAGTGGTCTGAGGAGAACGACATTGAATTTATTTTTCTAAATGCAAAGTCCCATCCCTACGCCACAAGCGGAAATTCTCGTATTTCCTCGGGGACCAGCAGCTACCACATACTTCTAGCGAAAAGGACTTAGTTATTGTTGTTCAAGAGGATTAAAGCTGCTCCAACAACTTTGCTAAGGCTTCGTCTACTGCTATGAAGAATGTCGGCTTACTTCGGCGAGTCTTTGGCCGATTTGAATCATCACTATTCCCACGTTTGCTATCAGCGTACATTCGACCCTATACAGAGTACGCCATTCAAGCTTGGAGTCCATGGCTTCAACGTGATCGCAAGATGCTTGAGTGTCCACAAAGGATGGCCACCAAGATGGTCAAGGGATTACATTACCTGACATACGAGGAGAGATTGCGATCATTGGGACTATATTCTGCTCAGTATCGCCGAACTCGAGGAGACTTGATTTTGACGTATCAAATACTGCAGAACCCAAACCATCCGTGTCGATTGCTGCTCATGTTATCGAAAAATGTACACCTAAGGGGACATCGTCTCAAACTACTGATTCCCAAGTGTCGACTGGATTGCCGGCGCCAGTCTTTTGTTGTCAGAGTATGCAGATCTTGGAACGCCCTTTCATCTCATGTCGTTTGTGGACTCACTATTGAATCTTTCAAGCAGAGACTCGACGAAACCTTGGCACACCTCCCACTCGTACACCACTAAAAGCGAACGAAAATTCACTGTAGTCTACATTCTCTATTATCTCCTACCTGGAACTTTATGTGACTTCTTTTTCGATGTGTAACGATTCATCTGTGTAAATATCCTAAAGGGACAAGAGAAGCATCAGCTTGTAAGCTATTCCCATAATGAAACTTTGACTTTAACTTTGAATTATTTCTGAGTTTTCAAACATTTCAAGATATATGACGTATCTGTCAACTGGAAGTGTGCTGTTTGAACCATAAAATCACGCAATTAGTTTATATGAGTAATGGAGGATTTGATTAAATTTCAAATGGGAATTCGTCGTGTATATAGCAAATGAAGCGTGAATTGAAAAGCTAGGAAGCACTGGACAGTTATTTCGACCTGCTTGGGGCTCATCAGCAGTGCGAATTCATCGACCCAACTGGGGATTGAACAAGGGATCTCATGGGCAGAAAGCAAGCAAGTTACCCACTCGGCCACCGGGGAGCTGATCAGACCTTGAAATAATTAGTCCGGTTGTGAATGTTTCCAACCGAGTCATAACCTTGGAGGCTAGTGCTGAGATGAGCAGGGTCTGTGACCCGCAATAAGCTCGCAAAGATGGGTTGTTCTTTATCGTGTAAATGGAAAATGAAAAACGTCCTGATCAGCTACCCGGTGGCCGAGTGGGTAGCTTGCTTGTGTTCTACCCATGAGATCCCTTGTTCGATCCCCAGTTGGGTCGATGGATTTGCATTGTTGATGAGACCCAAGCAGGTCGAAATAGCTGTCCAGTGCTTTCTAGCTTTTCATTTCACGCTTCATTTGATATGTACACGACGAAGTCCCACGCAATTGGTGTTGAGTTCCTGGACAAGTTTCGTGCTTCGCATCCTCACCGCACCAAATTTACCTACAGAAATAGTGCACATTTGTTTCTTTGTTTGCGGTATAACAACTACCATTTATTGCAATATAACTTTTCAGCATGCTTTAAATTGTCTAGATTTTCTGTTTTCTTATTCTCGTAGGCTGTCGCGGATTTGCCATTTAGTTGAATAGAACCTATCTTGATTTGATTTGACATTCTAACCTGCGGACAATAAGGAAGGTAGAAATATTTCATCAGCCACATTTCCTGACAGAGGAATCTTGAATGATACGCTTGCAGAAGATTAGTATGGATACTGGAGACAAACGTAGTGTGCAGCTGCAGTATCTGTGACGAGTCAAACATGCATTTTGGTCCAAACATGGAAAAATAAGTGTTGAAGACAAAGAAATGACTAATGGCGATAACAGACAGTAATACTATACCAGTCTGGTGGAACATTCTGAGGACTACTGCATATGCGGAACTTAAGGTCTCAGTTGTGCACAGTCTGTCAAGTGTTCCAACTTCCTTGGCTCTGTAGTGGTTAGGGCATTTGTTATACATACCATCGGACTGGCGTTTTGGGAGTGTAAGGTTTGCCGAAGTTTGAAGTGATTGCGTAGAATATGATCTAATGGGATGGTGCGAATACCCTGGGGCAATCAACTTGTTCATCTGAGTTTTCTTAGGTATCGTGGCTGAAANTGGCTGAAATGATTGGGACTAACCTGACCCTCAGTCAGGCTCACTAAGTCATACGGTTGAGGGTTTTAACGGGCGGAGCACCTGTGTTGGAGTTTCAAAGCGAACAATGTTTATTCCCATTCTTCAACTTCCTCTTGAGAGAAAGAAAATTTTCGCTTGTCATACTGAAATTATTTCACTGATTGATAAAGCCACAGTAACAAGTGCAAACCTGTATGACGGCTCTGAAAACCAAACAGGGTGACTTGGTATTGAGAGTGTTGAAAGTTTATTCATACATGACATTTCCGAATGTTTCCTTGAATGAGACAGAAACCCTACAGGACAAAGACCTCATTCATCCCTGTCTAACGACGGGGAGTACTAATACGGTCAAGCAGAGAACAACTATTTGATTCAGATTTACGAGATAGATGCGCAAGGATTAAGCACGCCATGTCCAGCTACTAACCATTCTACTTATTTATTTGAGTAGTAGGAAAAACTTGAATAGCGAATCACTTTGTGTGTGCGTGTGAGAGAGAGAGAGTGGGTTACTTGAACGTACTCAAGTGTGTCTGACATTCTGTTTTCCCAACCGATGTAGAAAACGGAAATAAAAATAAAGTGTCTCTCATCTCTCAAATGCACTGATCCTGTAAATCCAATCCGATGTGAAAAAAAAGAAAATAAAACCTGATCGATCATATCCAGCTTCGTTCGATACGAAGATAACCGAAACAACACAAAAAGCATTTTTTCGGCCTGTTCGCGCGCGCGCGCCCCCACACTCTCTCTATCTTTAAATTCTGGCTCGGTTGTGGATGCGCAACCTGGTTCAAATGCGCCACGGTGATGGATAAGGGGTTCTCNTGGGGGGGGGGGACGGAGGAGCGATGGAAGATTGGTTTTGTGGGATCTGTGGACAAGGTAAGCATGAAAAGCTCAAATGGTTATGCCAAAAAAAGGTACGGGAAACAGGATCCTGACATTCACATGGCATCTCTTTTCGCAAGTTCGCTCGTACTGGACACTGTTTTCAGAGCCTGACGCGCAGCTTGACAGTTGTGATGATGTTGTTGTCCCGGATGACTCGATGTCATCGTTTTCATAACCGGGGCTGAGAATCCATTTGTTATGCGTTCCTGATAGGTTCGATAAAGTGACCCAGTATTCAATGGTCTGTAGGTTTTTCGAGTAACCGTCCTTGTCCGAGATTTAGTCGATCGAGTTGGATAGACCAATTCTTTGCCACCGATACCGTCCGGTTTTCGAGCCTGAATCCATGGCTGTGAAGTACGGTTGATGACCAAGTCATCGACAGAAAAGTTACCTGTTGGTCGAAATACTTGTCTGCGACGATCCTCTTCGTCATCCGTTTCAGACGGACAATTTAGCTGAATAGTTTCTGACCCGTTCCCAACCAGCACGGTGCGTGAAAACACGACCCTGCTTCGTCGAGGCGGAATAGATTGAGTCGAACGGGAAGAGCTTAGGGATGACTTCGGTCCGGTTGGTCCCGAAGTCACGGTAGACGAAGTAGAGACTGCAGATGCGGAAGAAGTGGATGCGGATGCAGTGGAGGATAGGGCGGACTGTGTGCGTTTTAAAATTGTTGGTGCTGCCAAACCAGTTGACGACCCACTACGCAGGGAAGAACGAAGATGCTCTTTCTGTGGAGAACCGGGTGAATCTCGCAGTTGAGTCTTAGGTGGACTGGCCAATGGAACGAGAGGATCTTGTGTGATACTGATTGGCTCGGTATGCATTAGGTCATCTTGGGAATGTAATGCAAGCTACAAGATAACCCCGCGTTGAGTGGAATATGTTCCAGGGAAGGAATGAAACAGAGAAAGAAAGATACAATTTGATATGTGACATTTTGCGACAACTGTATTGTTGTTCTTAATCACTGAAGATCAAAAATATCTACCTTAAGTTTTGTACAAGGCACCACGATAAGAAATGACAATCAACGTTGGACAAAGAACCAAGATTTAAACTAGGCCATTCATTTCACAAAACTGTATAAGCCAACTTGGACCTGCTTATCCTCTTTGATCAAAGTGTGACTGTTGAACGAGGTCAGGTATTACGTAAGTTAAAGTAATCGAATTTTCCGTATTGCTTTGGTGAGCAGAGAAATATTTACGGTGGACTGCACATTGCCAAAAACTGTCCTTCATCAAAACGTGACGGTATTAGCGCTGTTCATTGGCAACCGATGATGCATGAAAACAACCAACTGGAACGGCATTCGCAAAGCCTGATTCAATCCTGTTTTCCCCAAATTCGATCGCTGTGAATAGTGACCGCATATGTGCCTCCATAACTGGCTTATTGGATAGCCTACATGAAAGGCGTCATCATTAAATTGACGGTTGCTCAAAATATATCAGGGTATTAGAGATGCAGTTACTTAAATGATACAGTATGATTCAGAGACTGTGTACATCCTTGGAGGAGCACGAAACATTGATTACTTTCAAGGTAATGTTCTTAAAAATATTTGTAAAATAATCACCATGAACGTGAAATTAGTTCGCGGAAACCGCCTTTAGACACACTTACCTTAAGGTCATATGGATCGTCCATAAATCGACTAGCTCCTATATATGTATCACCCAAATATCTATCTTCATTCAAATCACCAACAACAAGAGCATCTTCCTCTTCCTCATCCTCATCGTCCTCCTCCGCCTCCTGGGGTGCATAGTGTTTTTTCACATAGAACGGAATTTCTCGTAAATGGGTCGGAGCATATCGTGTCGCATGTGGACTGAGCCGTACCCGCCGGTGTGTACGACCTTCCGCGCGAATTCGGATCCCAGTGTCGTCCGAGGCGATATCTGAACCGGTAGATTCGTTCTGCTCTGGGAATGGATTCTGTGATGAAAGACACAAAGGGCTGCTTCGCAGGGTGGAGAATTGAAACCTGTTGGATTGATTACTCACAGGCGAGCACGGTGGGGACTTTGGGAGGGTAAACGCGTCGTCCGGGAAAATCAACTCATGCTCAAACGACCTGGTCACTTCCGGATCTTTAATCAACTCTCGAAATAAACGAAGATCTTGAAAAGCCTACCGGTAGGCGAGAGAAAACAAAAAGCCGAATAATTAACATAGTGTGTTGGGGTGTTTTTAGAAAATTCGGCAATGAAATATAGCTTGTAAACTAGATCTCGAGGCCCAGTACAGATAGCCCAAGTGATTAATGCATCGGCTTGTAACACACAGTTGATGGATTGAACTATAAGCGAACCAAATTGCCGGAAAAGCACCCAACTATAGGAATAAACTGAAGCAAAGTATCGATATACTAAAACAATAAATGTGCCACCTGGAAGAACAGAATAAAATGAAAATTAAACTCTGATCTGCAGTAAGTAGGAAACAATTGCATTGGGTTCCCATGACCTTTCAGTATTGACCGATCCACAGAACCAAGAAATCACCTTGCATAAAAATCATAAACTGCCTTGTGTTTTTTTCCTTCACCGGAAATAAAATGAGACCATTCGCATTAGAATTTTCTTTCCAAGGGTCATTTCTCCTCATTCCTTAAACTGTTTGCTCGACAGCCAGAATACCAATTTCCTGTCAACAAAAGACAAACTTTTCCTGTGCTACGGACAATCATAAAGTCGTCAGCTCGTTTCGCAATGCATTTGTGTGTCTGTGTGTCTGTCGACGTGTTACGACAGACGTTTTATTCGCTCAAAGTCGTTTGTCTGCACCACGATTCTCGAGATTAGCTGTATTGGAAGACCCTGCCGCCAGTGGTTTCCACAACACACCCGAAAATTCACATGAATTATTTTGTTCATAAAATTTCCAAACTGCGGTATCCGGGTTCAGTTTCATTCATTCATTCCCGTCCCGTCTGATTGTTTGTCTGTCTGGCTCTCTGCCTATCTCAACCCTCGGCACAGGCAGTGAGCTTCATTCTAAAAGGAACCTATTCCACCATCTTTGCAAATTTTATATCATTTATCCTCTCCGAATTGACGCTGATTTATTTGAAGGCAGTCGCTCGTTTTAATCATTGAGACTTCCCCATAAAACCTTTCCATCTTTAAAGGGTATGTGTGTGTGTGTGGCTCAACAGCTGGACTGCAATGAAGCGTTCAAACAAAACGAGTGGAAAGATGCTGGTGCATAAGACTCGGCACGGTATACACAATGCTCAAAAGCTGAATAACCTGAGTAAGCGTTAGATACCTCAATTTTCCTCCTTTCAATGCGACCTGTTTCTTTCAACAGCAAACATTGCTTCTAGATTATTCATAGAGTTTTGTTTCATTGATTCAAGCAACCACAAAGTTTTACTTAGAGAAAGCGTCAGTTACCAAAACAATAGGTATTTGCCACAATTTCTATCGTGAAAACCCTTTACTGATAATGCACTAAAATATATAGATAATTCTGAGTAGAGGAGTATGTTATTCACTCAGTATGAACCTGGTCATTTATAAAACAGGACGAATCTGAAAAGCTGAGAAGAACTGTAGACCAACTAGTTTGAACCTTCAAACTAGTTGGATATATCTGATAAGCACCTCAAAACAACTGGGGTTCGAACCCGGGACCCCCAACATTTCTACGCGAGTTTACTGACCAGTGAGTATGTGCTCTGTATATTTGACTATCTACACACGATGCACCAAAATCTAACTATTCAAGTGTGCTGTGCCATCTCGCCTCGTTGATGTCACCTATGGGCTCCAGGGTTATAACTGGAACAGAATCATTGTAAAACTGACAAATCATTGCGAAAGATTTCATGAATTGCACGTTAATTGTTTCATTTGCGGTAGCTTTGAATCGGTTTTAAGGTTTTAAGAAGGAAATCAGTTTTCTGCATAAAAATTACTTCACAATGAAAAGGATCATAGATGTTTTGCAAAATTCGTCTGATTCAATACAGGAGAACCGTGAAACCATAAAAACCGTAGATAGGGGGTTATAAATTATGCCATTTCGGGTCTCGGTCCTGACTATGGTACCATCTTTGCTGAGGTTTACAAGAAAAATTCATCTGTTGTTAGTTGCGACATAATCTGATACAGACGCTGGTGTCTCTGTCCTACATTCAGTAAACCTGAATTTCATCTATTCTGACAACACATAGCTAAACTGCACACCAATCTATCTCATCCATCATCCCCGAACGTCCGGCGCGGGGTGTCCGATCTAACCACGCATACAAATAGGATCAGATACTGTGTTGCCCTCGGACTACAAATTAGCTGCAAACAAAGAGGAATGTTCTGTAATTGAAACTTCGCTAATTCACCTGGTGCCCTCGCTTATCCAGATTCGTCAACTCAGAAATGTTTTTATAAACTTGGCAACAAATTCAGCCCATTCGTTGCTCGCTAATCCGGAATATGTTGTTAACATTCGTCCAAGATGATGAAGAACAAGCCGAAGGTTAACTGCATATCACTATGCAGATTAAATCGATCAGGAGAGACCAAAGATGAGCCAAATAGATTGCTTGTTTTGTAAATGTTTTTCATTGATTCGAAGAAAAGCATCCTGTTTTGATACGTGCCACAAACCTCTTAACCAGATTGGTTCAGATGTGAGTTGGAAAACAATTAAACACAGAGACAGGCCAGACGCTGAGATGGAGCGCGAGGGATGAATGGGGTTGGGGTGGGGGTTAGATGGAGCGACCTAAATGGTGCCGAGGATCATGCAACCGTTCGTGCACCCTTCATTCATCTTCTGCATTCCACTTCTCTGATCGTCATCAGCCTGCATTTCTTACGAACCGACAGTGCAATCGATTCACATTAGAATGCGAACCTATTTTTATCCCATTCCATATTGCAAAATGTATTCCTTTGTGAATTTTTCAATCTCACGACTTGGTATGCCAGTGTGTCGGTTCGGTGTGCGTGTGCCTCTGTTTGATGAGGATTTTTCAATGTTCACACATTTGAACACATGTACGAGAACGGAACAGAACGCAACAATAACTTTACTGTGTGATAATTTAATACTGTCCCCTTAAGTTTACCATAAGGCTGTTCACAAGAAACGGGGATTATGTGCATACCAAACGTGAGTGAGTTCAGCAACAAGTAGATGTCACGGAACAAGTAGTCGTCAGCCTTTAGTGTTTTTTCCAAGCGCAATAATCAATTAAAAGTGCTGACTTTCAGTATTGTGGAAAAACATGGCAGAAAAATGCCATCCGAGACCGACAGGCCCAAAACGTTTTCGTGCAATTGAGACATGAATTCTGGGACGGGTAAATGGTTATCCACGGGAATATGTTCCCGGTATGTGCAATGCACTGCTGCATAGATGAGTTCAAAGAACGGATATAGAGAGCCTGTGCATATGCTCGCCGAGTTGGATTCGTGACAAACCAGCACAAAACTAAAATTGTCTCTGTCCTCCAGTTACTTTCTGTACGGTCCATAAATATGAAAATAGCCGAACGAAACTGATACGCGCTGGATCGTTTGAATGAAAGTCAGATTCATATCCTGTTGACAGAAGAAGACCGGTGGGGGAAACTCGGTAGATTTCAGGTTTAAAACTACTTATATATTTTTCGAATGCTAATTTAGCAGATGAAAATGGGAGAAAAATTATATGGATGAGAAACTGATGTGCTCATTGATTGAGTCAGTCAGGATGTTGGCTGTCGAAGCAGAACACATATTGAGTTACCAAAATATCAGATCGGTTTTCGTCTGATTGTTTTTATCAGTCTTTGCGATTCGAGTTCCATAACAAATGATAAAACTTTGTAAAAGCAAAATGTCTTTCAAATCACACCACTTAAAAATCAGTTGAGCAATCCCATCGACATTTATCGAACCTTAAATGGTGTGGAATGTAACCAATGAAGTCCTTCAGGAAAGTCTAGAAAACAGTATATTTATTGAACAAAGGTTGGATTTTGTAGAAAAATGAATAATCAGATGTAACTAACGATAAACAAATTCAACGCTTAGAACAAAACCCTCAAAACTAAACGGGATGAGCACATATGGGCGCAACTTTGTTTGAAGCCCATATGGGGAACTTTTCAACTTTTTTCATTTTACATAATGCATCCAACTTGAATTCCGTGACAGCCCACTGTTAGTATAATGCATAGGTGCACTCAGTTTTGTGGTATCCGGCGTTCCAGGTGAATAACCGAGGTTGCAAGTGGCCCGACAGCATTTGGAAGGGGTTTTATTTTCTACTTTTTCCCTCCTGCATTATAACACAAAGAGTTACCAACAATTGTGCTCAGTTGTGGCTGGAACAAAGCAGAACAATGTCCTTATTGTTAAATTTGGCGCCAAGGCAACGATTGTCACAAAAACGTTTATCCAGAGACCGGAACGTGTGTTTCTGTACAAAGTGACTGATATCCAGGGTAGAGTCTAAAAATGTCTTCATATACACCACAGTGGAGTGGTGAAAAATTATATGTTTGAGACACAGAATGAGAAAGAGAATATAGGTATTGAACAAACTCGTGCGCCTATTTCAGTTTCCAATAACCAACTTGCATATAGAAGGTTAAAGCGCATTTATTCCAAACTGTATCTCCGCAGTTCTCCTGTATCACTATCTAAATTGGTGCTACTTTTATTGCCACGATAAATATGAAGGAGTTCTAAAGGTAGAGTGCAAAATAGAAAAACTTTTAAAGCACGACAAATCACCCTCAATATTAAAATATCATTACTTCATGGAGATGTTTACTGTACTCAAATCCAACGAATCTGAATACAGAAGGCAAAGGCTCAAAATTTCACACAGGACTCTGGATAATTTTGTAGCATCTGTAAATATTCGTACGCAGCTTAGGTGATCATTCATATCTGGTCAGAAAATACGGGACCTTATGTGGAGAAAGAGTTCCATGAATATGATCCACCAGACACTTCTTATCAATTTACTACCAAGTGGTAGGCCTGTCGTGCTGATTATGCAATTGACAATGATGAATTTTAATGGTTGATGCAGAGAAGTATCTAAAAACCCGGTGTCATTTGTATTGTAGAGGACTCTGAATGAGCCCCTCAGTAAATTATACAGTGCTTCATTTCGACCAAGTGTTG